CCAGTTATCCATCCATCCATCCATCCATCCATCCATCCATCCATCCATCCATCCATCCATCCATCCATCCATCCATCCATTCATCCATCCATCCATCCATTTCCAGTTCCTTATCTAAATCAGCTTGTAGACAGTGCATTTCAAGGAGAGAAGCCCAATTCTTTGTCCCCAGTGACACTTTCCAGCTCTACCCGGGTTGTTCTGTGGCTTTCAGGCCAGAGAGGACAAACTGTTATCCCAACGAGTTCCTTTCAGAAGGATATGTYACTTTTAACTTACTTTTACATTTTTCAGTGGTGTTAGCTTTTATAGTGAAATTACTGAATAGAGAGATGTAATCAGGTATTTTGTGGTTGCTCCAAGTTTCTACTGTGAATGTCTTTCTACCTGTGATGTTTGGTGCCTAATCAAAGGTGTAATTAGAGTAAAACAGTCTTTTGTGATTTTGAGAGGGAACCGTGTCACAGAGATCGGCGTTTATGATACGAKCCGCAGGCTTATGTCATTGCGAGACAACCATGATGTTGCAGATTAAGAAGATCATCTTGTTTTATTGCAATGCAAACAGATGTCACATTCTTTTTCATGCTGCGGATGACAGTGATGTCTCCAGGATTAATTATTATTTATGCGCTGCCATATTACGTTGARGTTTGAAGAGAGCGGCTGCTGTCACCTTCATGCACCCAATTAGTCATGTTTAGGCAAATTCGCTCAGAAAGAAGTTCAGAAAATTCATGTTTTTATTTATGCTTTCTTTCTGATTTGTTTTCCACACAGGAAAACATGACTGAAGCGTTTGGATGAATTCTGAAAATAAATTAGAGTAAAATGAGGTTTTTCTTTTCCTTTTTTTAATATACTTGTTTCCTAGCAACATCAAATCACTGTTTTTCTGGTAGTGAGCTTGTGTGTGTGCGTGCATGCGTGCATGCGTGCATGCGTGCCTGCGTGCGTGTGTGTGTGTGTGTAAGAGAGGAAAAGGTTGAAAGGAATATGACCATTGTTTGTTTCATATATGTAAATGTCAAAATCAAAATGAACTGTTTCTGATCACAAACATGTCATCATTAACTCATAAACCAAATGATCCCAGACAGTCCAGACAAATCCTGGAGCCTACTGACAGAAGACAGGACAGATTTTTGGATACAAGAATACCCAAGATGCTTAAAGACAGTTGCAGAGATAACTGTAGAGCTCAAAACAGAAGTGTTCTTATGAAAAAAGCTCACATGTAAATAAAAGCTTAAAGCTCTGAAAACAAAGCTCAGCAGAATGAGGAATATTAGAGCTCAAACTTGTTCTGAACTGCAGCATCTTCAGATAAGAATAACTGTTTGGATGCTGATTTGTTTTCCACAAAATCAAAGAAAAAATAATTCACTTTTTGGAAATCTCAGTTGCTTTTTAGGAAACATTTTGAGCATCAAACCTTGAACATTATAGTTTTTTGGGGGGTGGATTTGGAAAGCAGTGGCAATAACGATGAGTTGAAATGCGTGCACAGTATGATCCTCTGAGACAGACATAACTGTTTATTGCAGGTTGTTTTTGCCTGTTTGGGGGGAACATCCAAACATATAAAAGTGCCTATGGCTGTGTCTCAGTACAGGGGTTGTAGCCCACGTAGAGTGTGTCAGAATTATCAAAAAATATTACACGTAAATAAATAAAACATTAGTATTTTGGGTTTAGCTCCAGGATTTATAATTAGATTTTATTTWACATCTCATTGCAGCAAAAAATTTCCTCAGCTACGTTGCTAAACAAATGATAAATTTCCAAATGCTGCTGTGAAAAAACAACAAAAAAAGTTTTTTCTRTTCAGTTTGCTGACAACAACAATCACAGGTCATGTAGGATAATCAGATGCAGCCCATGATTTTGGGGTTTTGTCGGCTGCATGAGTAGGCGCCTTCAAATTGGCACAGTGAGGTAAGCGGCTGACAAATGCATCCTATGTCGGCTGCAACCCCTGAATCGAGACACAGCCAAAGATTCGGCCAATATTAGATGTATGGTGGCTGTAACTTGGTAAATTTAACAGATGTTGAGCTAGATTTTATGTTGTAGTAGCTGAGAGTAAACTACGGAAGAGCATTGTATTCACCAAATTAAAAAAAAATTAGACACCAGATCTCATAATTACGAGATCAGGATCTCATAGTTAAGAGATATTATCTCATAATTACGAGAAAAGATCTCATAATTATGAGATAAGATGTCATAATTACGAGATCAGGATCTCATAATTAGATCTTTTCTCGTACTTATGAGATAAGAGGTCATAATTACGTGATCAGGATTCGGAGATCAGGATTTCATAATTATGAGATATTATCTCTTAATTATGAGAAAAGATCACATTATTATGAGATAAGATGTTATAATTATGAGATCCTGATCTCGTAGTTATGAGATCAGGAGTCCTAATTTTTTTATTTGGTTAATGCAATGCTCTTCCGTAGTAATCCCTGTACTCAGCATGTTAACAAATATCACAATATCACACAAGATCATGCTTAATGTAATTTACAAGGTTTGTCAAAAATGGCTATAACTTTGTCCCTTTTCAGTATAAGATGATTTTTGCGATATGCATTTCTTCACTGCAAAAACTGTCCATCTAACCAAGTTTTAAAATCTTATATCCAGCCAAAAAGACTTTTTGATCTTGTTTTGAGACTGATTTAATAAACAAGAACAGATTGTGTAAGAATAATAATCTTGTTTTCAGAATGTGTAAGATTATTTGTCTTGTTAGTCTGAAATTTTGACTCAAATTAAGTCAAAAATGTCTGCCAATGGAATACTTGATTTGACTCAATTTTTTCTTATTTCAAGAATCTTACCAAGTAAAATTTTCTTACTCCATTGGC